CTGAACATGTGTGGAAAGGTCGGTATAACCCGAGTCTGTAACATATGGTGGGTTGATCGAACGATGATAGCAGTTTCTCAGTCTAACATTCGTGCCATGTTCTTCCGGCTGTGAAGACGAGATTACGTGTTTAAGATCCAAGTCGCAACTCCTCGGTGTTCGTCGGCTGGGGCTTTTCGAATTTTAACTAGGTCATTGTCGCGAGCTATTCGCGAGCCGTAAACCTCTGTGTCGACACAGCGACATTTATAATACCCAAAGTTCAAACAGCAAATTTTCATCATTTTCCAACCGCGAACAACATAAACAAGGCTCCTTTCTTGTTGATAGTGTAATTATTCTATAGTGTATATATTATATGACTAATTGCTGCCAGTTGAATCAAGGCCCTGTGTCGGGTCACAGCTGTTGGCCATACGGATCCCGACCCTGTAATTTGAAAGTCGCATTCCTTGCACCACAGTCTTATTCCCGTCTAGTCGCTCTCACAAGTGGGCCATGCTGGTGTGTGGCGTGATAAGAATGCGAAATGAGGCCAAGAAAATTTTATATGTGCTACTTCCAGACATGCAATATATTTATTTATCATAATTACGAATATGGCACAGCGTACTATTACTTAAACAATGTACCGCACAAATAGCTTATTCAGTATTGTAGCGGAATATGTAATCAATTTAGTAGTAATTTTCCCATACATTCTATGGATTTATATTATGTACGTTATGCTGCACTCAAAATGTAATGTAAAAAATTGATATTTCCTACAACAGTTACATTTATACAAAAAAACAGTTGATAGTTTTTATAATGAAAGTATGTTTCAATTTAAATTAGAACAACACTAATTGATATCTATTTTAAACCAAACTTTAATTACTCGGAAAAAAGTTTCATGAATATGGGTATATCGATAGAGGGATAAATTATGTATTGACATGACGTTATATTGAGTATGCATGAAAGCATCAATGTTGTCTGGGTTCTATCTACTGAAACATCCTTCTAGATAACGTCATTTGATAGGTCTGTCTGCATACTTTCACGTCGTACCCTTGTACACACTGGAATGACATGTCATTAACACTGCTTCAGATCCAATCAATGATAGTTCAATAGGCTCTTGTCTGATACATATTGAACTATTGGTCTACCAGGTGACAGTGTCGCGCCGCTTAATAAAGACACCACATATTTCAATCGCTCATTCAATAGTTTTGTGTATAGGAGATACATTATCTAATATCTAGCGATTAAGCCTTTGTGTAAATCATGTCTCCAGCTGGTGTATACAGGTACATGCATATACGCATATTATGTTACAAATTATACAGGTTTAAATTACATATTTCACACAAAAGGCTTCAATTAAACTCAAGGAAGATTATTGATAAAATATCACAGGGAGATTCCTCTGTACAACCGTTTACCACTTTAGAATATAAATAATAATTTATAATGCTTGGGAATATGTGCAGTATAGGTTGAATACGGATTGATGTAAGTAAGTGTCTCATTAATATATATAGGATACAGACTGGCAATACGCGGGTACGCAAGGGCAGTAGATCTGGCAAATATAATACATTTACAGGATCGTAAACCGAGCTTGACTTTAGCGACATTTTACACACATCAGTGCTCCTGTCGTTTCAGTCGTAATTAAAACTTGCTAGAACACAGCTAACGGCCAAAGGTTAAATATTTCAGGTTCAGTTGCACACTGTATGCTATAGTATCCAGGTCTGCGTTATCGACTACTCCACGCTGACAAGTGTATATGTTTAGAAAAGTAATAACAAACATAATATCACATGACCTGACGCCACAAGCAAGCGTAACTTTATAGTAGTCGGCGACCTTTCCAAGCCCCCACGGAAGCTCATCCCAACACTATTTTCCTGCTGCTAATTTTAGGAAGTTGAATTTTTTTCCTGCTTTAAATGCTCTCTGTTTAGTTTGAACTTTCCGATGGCTCTCTTGTGCACAAAATAGACCGTGTAATTTTCTCTTACCCGCGCGTGTTGACGTCTAAAGCAGTTGTGAAGTTTTTTCCTACCGATAATACAGCCTGTTTGACATGGTTTTAATTAGTAGTGAGGATGCATGTACTTACGGGCACATCATTGTGTCAATCTGAGCTATCGGCTGGCTGTTGTGTGCGTTACTTTTTGGGCAATTGGTTCTGTCCAACTGATAGCGGCAAATACGAAGCGACTTTAATCTTTGAAATTTCACCAAATTCTAAAAATGTTAACTTCTTAAAAATAATACCCACCGATAACATGTATGCATTTACCACTGAATAATTGTTCAAAGTTGATTTTCCTTTTTAACCGTTATCGGATAATAAATAGATCCTAGGTTGCACTGCAGATGAAATCTAAATTAAACGCCATAAAGACCCCCATGTTTAGTCAATGTTACATCGGCTGATTTCTTTGTGTTATATGCTCTTGTAATTTCTCGTTCAACCCAACAGCGTCATAGCAGACCACAACAAAAGAACGTTTTCTGCGGAGACAAATTAATTCCTGATGATATAAAGGCGGGATTCAGCGACAACTAATATCCTGGTCGTTCTCCTAGTCCTGTTCATTTTATTAAAACAAATAGTTCATGTTGCAACTGCGAACTCCTAATGACTAGAGGGCAGTCTCCAGTTCCTGCTCTTTGCCGCATAACGTTCAAAGGGTGTGACTCTTTGGAAAAGCTGCAGTGAATGAGAGCTGAGAAATAACATCGCTTCTCTGCAAGCACGTGTATAATTTGTCCCCGTACAGCTCGGACACGTCATCCCTAGTTTCGAACCACCGAGGAACATTAGACTCGGCAAAATGTAATCGATTGGGGCACAATCATTCACACCTCTAAAGTTCCTGCCTTGCCCATGTAGTCAACGAAGAACGATGCCGTTTAGCAGTCGAGCAGAATGCTCTACACGAGTAGAGTCATTAACTTAAAGTGATCCCGCAATTCAAATAATTACCGACGCTAAAATAATGACATGCCTATTTGATGTGTTCATTCGGACAGAATCCCGGCTTTGTTCGCTGTTTACTTGCAAGCACAAGCGTAAAATGTTCGGAAATGTGCCGACTCGGACTTAAAGGTCCTTTTGATTCCATCTACAGTTATCGGGTTTGCTACGTCGTGATCCTAAGCATAGGCCGTGGACTAGGAATTGAACAGCTCGGCCTCAATAGCACCATGCCCCGGAACCAAGGTTCAATTTTCCCCTGTCAATAGTTGTTACAACAGACTCCAATTATGTTGAAAATATGAGAGACATTGTTTAATGATACAGGACCTCAGTGAACGGATAAAGTCATAGGAAAATCGAATCTACGTGGTGGAACGGATTGTTCGGGACTAAGAGCAAACGAAGAACCATTTTATATCTGTATCAATATCCTCTGATCCAATATCGCTATCCGAACACACGACCGCTGTTATTTGAACAATTTCATATACAAGCATTGCTGACAATTTCATATCGGTACGGTCATTCGCAGGTCCTAACAGATTCAACCAGACCCTTCTACTCAATCTCCAGACCCGACCAAATGCTCATTGCGGCCGATGGACAGTCAGGGAAAATTGAAATGATTATTCCTGCTCCTCCTTTTGGCCGACGAAAGCTAATATCTATCTGAATTGCGATCAATAGATTATGATAGGGGGTCACGAAATATTATTGTCAAAGTGTTTCAATCTGAGATCCCGGCGTGTTCGCTGGGGTCATCGTATCGATGGTTGTCTTCCAATTTGCTCGGGCCTCGTGTTGACGTCTTTATAGTTGTTTATGCTACTCTTTGTCTGAACCGTGGCAGAACGCTGGCAGTGGGGGGATAGGAATGGTTTTCTCTTTAGGTAAAGGATTATTCAGTCTGTATTAAATTTGAGTGGAGTGAGGGGACTTGTAGCGTGTGGCGAGGAAGACCCTTGGTCAAAGTTCATGGCGTTTATGAAAGTAGTAAGACTATTAAACACTTCGAATAGCACCAGCATGATTTATATGGTGGTTTGGACGTGTCCATTAAGTCACACCTACTCACAAGTCAATATTTATCTTGTCAGATTATGTCTATCAAATCTGATCCGGATAGTTAAAGCAATAAGTAAAGTATTTATTTGGATACGATAATGCATCTGTCTTCATTTATTATTCCTTCGATATCCGTACAACCAATACACCAGAATGTCTCGGTGTTCAATAGAGAAACAATTTTCATATAATCTGAAAATTTGTGGGATATTCTATGCAGTGGCAACTCTTTAAGTATGCAGTAACCTCATAAGGTAAACAGGTGATCATTTTCACTGACTAATAGCAGCCTGGTGAGACATATTTGACTGGATAAGTCCCTCGATTGTGATAGATTCTGTGGTGTGGGAATTTTAAATCAAAGCAGGGAATCGGCAAAAACTGCGCATCCGACGGAAAAGAATGAGTGAATAGATATATAACAGTTAGTGACGTGATAGTCATGAAAAATGCAATAGGGGAATTGTTAAATGCTTGTTACAGGCTAGAGAGAGAAAAAGGTTGAATAGCCAATTGAAACAGGCAGAATGAAAGAATGAGAGCTCAACCGTACCAAGACATAAAACATTAAACTCGTTCAACTTGAATTGATCACAGGTACATCTTGATGCACTACAGGTATTCTCGCGATTCTCGACTCTGGAAAACTATGTTACCGAAAATTATTCTGCAAAGCCAATTTTAGTTCATTTGGATTTATGATTAACTTGAGGGTTTTTCATTCAGATAATCATCTATGGTTATAAATGTATTTTGTTTTACGATAGGTAAATCGTTTACATGAAATGGAATATGTGTATTGTATGTTTCAGGGTCTACTAACATACACTATAACAACACAAACACGTGCATTTAACCCAGTGGGTGGGAGCCATATATATTGAGATATTCAGAATGAAGTATATTGATATTTGAAGTTTGTGAAAGGCTAAAGTACTTTTCTATTATTCAGAAAGTAGCCGTGGACAAATTGCTAGAAAAGTTCCAGTCTTGCTAGGGGACATGGGAGTGACGAGCGAAATATGTAATTATACAATTTCTGGCCCAAACTTTTGCACGAAACATGAAATATGATATCTCTATTCTCATCATATAAGGAACATTTATTGAATAGGAGCAAGTCAGTGTCACACACGAAGGTTGTAGAAACTATAAATATTACACATTTATCAGCAAAGATCATCACTTCATTACTTAATCTCAGACCTATCTGTGCATCATGAATATGATAAAGACAGATTCTTTGTTTAGAATTCGAAAAGGATTCTGAGTCGAAGTTAAGTTAACGAACACATGTCATTCATTCATAGTTGCTAATTAATTCATTCTTTTCCAGATGCCTGTGGTCTGTCAGATGCCAATCACATTGAAAGTATTCAAGAGAAATCCCAATGCGCTCTAGAGGAGTATGTACGCAGCCAGTACCCAAACCAGCCTACCCGATTTGGCAAACTTCTTCTGAGACTTCCATCCCTTCGCTCGGTCAGTGCTCAGGTCATTGAACAGCTTTTCTTCGTCAGACTGGTGGGAAAGACCCCGATCGAGACACTTATACGTGATATGTTGTTGAGCGGAGGCTCATTCAACTGGCCCTACATGTCAATACAGTGAGGAACCAGAATCCTAGTCTTTCCGAGAAGGGCCCGGTGGATGTAGACCTATTGGTCTCCAATGTTGGCAATCTTTGACTAGCCATAGGTCAAACTGTCTGGCGACCCTTGCGGTCAACCACGTACTCGATTACCAGTTAGTGCTATTATCCATCCCAATATAATGGCTTTTATATGAACAGTGCGTTTATCGACATTAGCACATGGTTATTGAGAGGTTTGTGTAAATTCTAGCGGTTTTGACTTTGACAAATTTGGGCTGAATTTTAGCCTGTACTGATTATTGCTCTATTACCCTAGAGATCTTCATAATGTGCTATAAAATACTCGAAATGACCCTTTAAGAGATGATGACTTTATGCGGTACGCTGTACATTGGGGTACTATTGTATCCTGATGTACGAGACAAAAGTGCTATAACTAATGAAAGAAAAGTGCTGAGCTCCGAAACAAGTGCTGAACAACTGTCACGAGCGGGCTGAAGTGACCCCAGAAGCAGCCTTTTCTCCTGAAAGCCTTTTAGGGCCGAACATATGAAGCCATGAGACACTATGAACCTAATGCCAGTCCGGGTGCCAGCCAAATTGCACTCGCGGCCACAGGAGTTAGGCCGGTACTACACCTTCTCTTCTACATTCGAATGAAGACTACGTCATCAAAAAGTGTGTATTCGTCATCATAAAGTGTGCACCACGTGCACCATTTCATCGTTCAACAAGGGCAGCTGTAGTTACTTCGTCATTGACTTAATCCACGCCCTTTTTGCTCGGTCATTGTCTGGTATTGCCCGATTTGAAGAAACCAAGTTTCTATGAGACTTATCGCTGAGTGTATTCACGAAGCTAACGACATGACCGTCGACGCAAAAGGTTCGTTCAACCTTAAATAGTGTTGTTTTTGTAAAAAATGACTCTTGTATTCTACCATTTTCAAGTATTCCCATCATTTTTGTCAAATCAAAACTTTCCATATGTCACAAATGATGTCTATTGAATAGATTTACGCAGGATGTAGAAATATCGACAAAGTGTTCATTATCTGTTCTTGTAAATGTGTTGTCACTAGTTCATTTTAATGGTTCTAAACCATATCATTTCATTTGCATTAGGAAGAGAGTCCCTTTAATAGGCAATGACTATTTTGATAGGTTCAAAGCGCTGATGAAGATGAACCCCAATGGGTTGACCATCAGCAGTTTTTACCAAATTCCAAATCAAAATACTTGTCTGTTAAATAGATACTTTTCTTCACTAATATATCATCCCCATGTCATCGTAGTGTCCAAGTTATTACTCACCGAATTATACAGAAGGTATTTCGTGAATTGTGTGCTTGTAAATTACCAAAAACTCAAAAGTTATTAGCTAATGCCAAAAGTTCCCAAGCGAATACTGCCGTGTTATCTGTAAACAGTACTCATAGAGTAGAAAACACGGGAGAGATAGTACAACCTTGCTTGCGACCATTTCCACATCTTTATAGTGTTTGTTGCTTCTTGAAAAAAAGCAGTGTCCGTTCCGTTGCCACGCAAAGGCGTCTTATATAATGATCGTTTTATGTATGACCTACTCTCTTTTTTGTTTGCTCGGCGAATATTTTCACTGTTGTCCGCTTCTATACTTGTGTGTCAAAGACACTATACAATGGGCTTTAATACGATTAAAACTGATGTTAAAATTCAATTCTGAGTGATTGTCCTCTTTTCATTTTTAGTTCGTTCTTATTAGGACAACTGCTTTCTGCTTCATGTTGTTGCACTGGCAGTTCAAGAGCGGTTACAACTACATACAACACTTACAACTAGGTACACAACCGTTACAACCACGCACACAACCGTTACAACAATGTACACATATGTGCGTAAACGTTCAGTGTTGATACACAAGCTAAACAACACTATATGCAGGCAAGACACAAACAATACTGTCTATGTACTTGGATGTTCTGACGTGTTGTCTGGCATCGTGTTCGCAATGGGGGCCGATGCGGTAACAGCGGGTGTATATCGACGCATCAACGTACGCCACAGTCTCCGAGTCGCTCAGTGAGGAACTTGAAATCCACACGAATACGTAACCCACCAGAACTATCAAATACGAACATGAAGCATATGGATCTTTTATTACACAATACATTTCTCTCCTGTAAAAAATGTTTTCCTGATGTGATTTCAGATGAGGAATAGAGCTGACTAGACGTGTTGTTGATGTAATCTAGATTGGTTTTGGTTTCATAAGATATTTATATTCCACAGTCATGGCGAAGGAGTAAACTATCAAATGAAGTGTCAGGTTGCGCTGTTAGATCCAAGAACTATTTAGGTAGTCACAATTTAGGTATCAACAGATAAGACTTACTGAAAAGATTTTCAGACAAAACAGTATTTAACAAAATTCGATTTATTGCGTTGGTTATACAGTTCTTAACCAGGTGGGGCATTAAATCGTAAACCCTTTAAGTTTAGTTGCCTGTAGATTATTGTTTGAGCGTTTTAGTCTTACTCAGTGACTGATGTTGTAAGCTCTGTACACTTTCTCAGTTGTATGGAGCATGACCTGCGTCACCTACCTGTGGTACCTGTAACGTATACGTAATAATCAGGTAGCAGATAAGATTATTTATTGTAGATGTTCATCCATTGAGGGCCGGGTACAAACAGTTAAGATATATAATAAAATAAACTATGATTGTATAAATAATAATAACATTTTCATAAATATCGTAATATGTATGAATAAGTTGATTAATTGACTGTGTATGTGATTATATCGGTGTAATAATAATAACAATAATAATAAATAATTAATTAATTAATTAAATCATGTGTGCGTAGGGTGGGCATCGTTTCGCAAAAGTCAAATTCACATGAATTAACTCCAACCAAAGTCATACGTAGTCATGTACGTGTTAAATAAAAGACGAAAACCATATCCCTTCTTCAAATGTACGTCGTAATACACAGCATTTAAAGACGAATACACAGCTACCTAGACATGATATCACTCTATGTGTGACAAAGTTTTGTGTACAAGTACCCATTAGTAAAGACGGGTGTCTGGCTCAACAATCCCCATGTCTCGCTACGGCCAAATCGTTCAAGTATACTGGTCCTCGCGTCGTCGGGGGAGGCGAGCCAACACGTAATATGTAGGTTACCCAACTACCCTGGATTTACATCAAGGCCCAAGCAACCCTACCACCTTCTGATAACACTGACATTTTCTCCTCCCCAGTCTAACCCATGTCTCTAGTATGTTCGGAACTCGGCGAGCGTAGTCTCACCCCATCTGGTGTGTGTTTGTATGGGACGTCTAGGCCTCGGTTTCCTTCAATAGAGATCTATTGTCCCGGGTTAGGTCAGGAAGAAAAGGTACATAGAAAGGGTGAGGCTCTTGTTGAGAATGGGGAGAAAAACTCTTGCCTATCGTATTACGATTTGTTCAACCTGTGTTGTATGCAACCGTCGCGAGTTTCCCCTGAATTCGGAACCTCATTTACGATATGCGGTAACACTTAACCTTTAAGAAAATCGCAAAGGTTTCTATATGTTATCAAATCTCTAAAAGTGTGTGAGCACACATGTGAAAAGTATGTTTTATACTGTAATTAAGTTCCACTCTGTCTAACTGTGAAAGTAATATTCGATAGACATAAATGACTACAATATTTATTTATTAGTTGCATGTATAAACCCGATTATGAAAGTGAAACCCAACATTAATTTGAATAGAAACTCACCCATTACAATGTTTGCATAACATGTATATTAATCTTGAAGAGCAACATCCTGAACATCACCCACAAATTGACCTGAGACATATAATCTCTAGTCCACATCCCCTTAAAATCACAACCAATTTCACCTGCACAACCTCTGTATTTTACAATGATCTAGCTGGCTTTTTGATCGCACCACTCCCTCAATATTTTCAAGGGCAGTCAACCGTGTTTCAATTATTCAATACAGCGCCTACCCGACCTTTATTCAACCCTACCCGTGTATCTCTTGGCTGTTTCCTCCTCTCGGGTGGGACCCGGTGAATGAGACCCGTGTTATATGATATCCCGCCCTCAAAGGGTGCTGACACTGTCGAACGTTGAAAGAAGATACAGCGGTAGAATACACATCGTCCACCCGTGCTTGTTCCAGTCCAGGGGACCTATTTAGTTCATATTTGTCTTTAAGCATTCATCTGGTCGAATGACGACTCGTAAAACTTCACATATAGTTTATGTCCCGGGAGGATTTCGCTGGCAGAGTTGTGATTTGGTATCGATTTAAGTGAGGTGTATTATACACATGCACCTAGCAATATGGTGATCATGAGATCACGTCAACAGATGTGGGGTGTACAAGTATGCAGTGCGAATTTTCTTTCATCTTTCTAAGACATCTTTTCTAAAACATCAATCTTCAATTTATAATAGGTTAAAATAAATATTTGAGGATTATTTACATTTCAACATTGGGATATTTGAATAAATGCGGCAACTTGAGAGGTTTTATTATACTCTTCACAATGTGCCATTCCAATCTGTAAAAAATATAGTCAATAAAATAAGGTATGTCTCGGTACCACCTTAGAAGCTGATACGACCTGTCTGTTCAGGCAAACTGGGCTAGGGAGATCATAGTTGTTAATTTCAGAATTGAATTATATTTGTTCTGTACCCGATGTAAACCCGGTAATATGTGTGTGGGGTCCTTGCATCTGGGGCTACAAAACTTGATTCATGGGGAAGTCCAGTGTTGACCACAACATGCATCGTCAGGATTGTACGTGGACATGCATATGAAAGATTGCACTTGGACATGCATTGGCAGAGGTGCGCCAGGACATGCAAACTCGAGACTGACTAGGACATGCATTGGCTGAGAAATGTACTCAGCCATGCATAGACTGGGATTGGCTAGACATGCATACTGAGGATCAGGTTAGTACATAGTCAGTCCATTCGGCTAGACGCATAGCCAGGAGTAGACCATGATTAAGATTGCAAAAGGACATATTTTAGCCATTTTAGGAATATTTGAGCCATTGAACCTGTGTAGTTGCCACATTCTATTAGAAAGAACATACAAAACAAGTGTCAACATTTAAAATATATATAGGAAATACTGCTTCCGAAATATGCAGTAACACATATGAAATAAACAGTTTTGTTAAATTTGTACAATCAACAGTAGTATTTGGTCTTTGGACATGTACATACCCAGTAAACAATGGTTAGACATTTAGAGTGTATAGTAAGCACTGCTTCAACAGTAAACAATGGTTAGACATTTATAGTGTAAAGTAAGCACTGCTTAAACAGTAAGCAATGGTTAGACAGTTATAGTGTATAGTAAACACTGCTTAGACAGTAAACAATGGTTAGACATTTAGAGTGTATAGTAAACACTGCTTAGACAGTAAACAATGGTTAGACATTTAGAGTGTATAGTAAGCACTGCTTAGACAGTAAACAATGGTTAGACATTTAGAGTGTATAGTAAACACTGCTTAGACAGTAAACAATGGTTAGACATTTATAGTGTATGGTAAACATTGCTTAGACAGTAAACAATGGTTAGACATAGACAGTAATCAGTGGTTAAACATTTATAATAAACAGAGTTTAAACATATACAGTGAACAGTGCCTGGATATTTATTGTAGTTGTTGGTTGGTTGTTTGTTGTTTAACGCCGCACTCAGCAATATTCCAGCTATACGACGGCGGTCTGTAAATAATCGAGTCTGGACCAGACACTCCAGTGATTGACATCATGAGCATCGATCCATGCAATTGGGATTCGATGACATGTATCAACCAAATCAGCGAGCCTGACCACCCGGTCCCGTTTGTCGCCTCTTACGACAAGCATAGTCGCCTTTTACGGTAAGCATGGGTCGATGAAGACCTGTACTACCCCGGATCTTCACGGGTCACATATATTGTAATGAGTGCTAAGACATATATGGTAAACAGTTCTAACCATTGTAGAACGCATGTGGTAAACAAATCACTAAACATAGTAAACATATCAACATAAGACATGTACCTCAACTCAGCATGTATTAAGTACTCAACTTAAGAAGTAAATAGATAACTAGTAGATAGATACATGAACTATATGCGCCAAACTGATATGCATTATATTAGTAGCAAACAAATCTAGAACATATTTAGTAAACATTTAGAACACATGTAGTTATCGGATCTCAAGAACATACGTAATAAACAGATACTAAGATCACACTAGAAAACAAATTACCCGAATATATATACTAAACAAATATCTGGAACATATGTAGTAGCGAGAAACCCAGCGTATATCTTAAACAGATACATAAGCATGTGTAGTAAACAGATTACTAGATCAGATGTATAAGGTTTTGGGGTATATGTATATGTGGGCGTTGATCTATGTGATAGAGCATCTTCATGTCTATCAATCAACACCTTAATGAACTCAATCACCTTCCTTATATCATTGCATGTTTAAGAAAATGAAAACAATATATATGGGCTTACATTAATGATTAATGCAAAGCAAATGTGTAATCTAAGTGGGCTTAGTTGCGTTATTTGTTCATTGTATTCTTCACTGGGTCATAATTCACGCTCACCCCTGGTATCATCACTGTTTTTCAGTGATCCATTCATATATTTCTCACCGTTATTTTACCTTTTACGCC